GAGAGAGAGAGAGAGAGAGAAGAGAGAGAGTGAGAGACAGGGACAGAGACAGACAGAGACAGTTAGAGAGACAGAGACAGAGTTAGGGAGGGGGAGGGAAGAGAGGGAGGAGCGAGGGAGGGCAGAGGTTCAAACCCGTGTCATTTGCATTTTATTTTAACATTGTAGCTTCGGTATCCTAGTGATTAGGCCTCGGACTCACAACTGCATAGCCGTGGGTTCGAATCCCGTCAGGGACTCAAGGTTATGTCTTTGGGAAAGGGAATGAGTACCTGGCTATAGGTTACGAAAGATCTTGTCAGTTTGTTAGTGTTCCAGTGATTAATCTGTTTCTTGCACGGTATGCTTCCTGGGAGGCTGAGAATATATCTGAATGTTTAAGGGCCTTCTAGGGTGATAATATACATGATATACATGTAGTGCAAAGCGCGTAGAGTTTGCTGTCAGGCGGAGAGAGGCGCTACAGAAAGGCTATTATTCATATATCATTATGATACTGAACGTGTTTTGAAACACTTAACTTTTGTTTCTTTTAGGTGTACAATACTCCGCTCTCCGACAAATTCCTCACGATCCTACAGACGCTTCTTCAGATTGATTTGGATGCAAAAATCAGGTAAGCCCCTCTACAAAAACTACTTTGTACTGGTCTTTGTTGCAATTTTTCCAACACAGGGTTTGAACGAGCATAAGCATTGCCCAGTTTTTAGAATTGCCAATTTTCACAAACAAACCTCAGAACCCCCATCTCGTCGGACAGACCTCTAAATAGACCCATGTAGCTGCAGTGCGGCATTAAGTTGTAAGCATAAAAATATCACCGTCGTCATTGTTGTTGTTGTTGCTGTTGTAGTTGTCATCTTACTACTATGAGTGCTGCCGCGGCTGCTGCTGCTATTGCAGCTACTGCTACTACTGCTGTTGCTGCTACTGCTACTGCTGCTGCTGCTGCTGCTCCAGTTACTATTATTATAGTTGTAGTAGTAGTCGTAGTAGCGGTAGCAGCAACTGGGGGAGGAGCAGAGTAACAATACCAATAGTGGTAGCGGCAGCAGCAACAGCAGCACTAACAA